ATAAAAAGGTTGAGAATTTAGAGGGTTAATATGTTGTGGGGTTGTTAACCAATGTCATAAAACAACATGTGTACTACTGTTTCATGAGAAACTGTTTGTTCTGTAAGCCTTCACCTGAAGTACAATAAAATATTTAAAAAAAAAGAATATGGTGAGCTATTCCTTATAGTATCTACAGTCCGATTATTACCACTTAAGAATGGACTTTACTGCCTAACATTCAATCAGGTCAATTTTTTTCCTATCAGATAAATACCAAGAATTTTTAAGAATACCTGAAAATAAGTGTGGTAAAGTGAATAAAACTGAATGTTGCATACCTTGTAAAAGATATCTTGCACTCAGATGCACATTAATGCTTGCATGTAGACCAGATATGAGTCTGTAGAATGCCCTTTTTTCTACACAGAGACCTAAACAAAGACAGTAATTTGGAAGCAGAAGTTTTGTATGTGAAACTTGTAAGATGAAAAATTAATTTCATGCCTCTTTAAAAATGAGAATATAAAATTTTATCATTTAATTTGTTTAAAAGTTTCCAATTACCTTCTAGCCAACTGTAAAAAGTATTCTCTGAAAGTAAAAAGAAAAATAAAAGTCACAAGATGGTAAAAATGCCAAAATGTAAGTTTTTCAAAAATTTTAGAACACTGTAGCAGATTTGTGCCAAAGACTAATATGAAGATTGCTTAACTAAAGGTCCAAATTTATTTGCAACTTCTCTAAAGGAAGAAGAAAAGTTCTTGGTCTGGATTCAATTAGGTGCTACTCTGTGCCATTCAATCTTTAAAAGGCTTTTAGCACTGACTTAGGTAGCCTCAGTCTCAAAACCGCCTGGGTAAAGTATTTTATATAAGGTCAAAACACAGAATTTAAATAGTAAATCAATACATGGAAAATACCTAGCCTCAATAACAATTCATGTTTTGAAAATGAAGAACTCATTAAATGCATTTTAAATTAGGAAAATAAGTAAAAATTATTAAATAGTGTTGGAGGTATATTTGTTCATAGCTGATAGTATATTTCAATATTTCAAAAGAGCAATTAAGAGAAATGTTACAAAAACAAATACCACTTATATTCTATGACCTATTAAGATCACTGTTCATATACTAAGACCTAGTAATTCTGCTTGTAGGATTATGCTATAAATAAATAACCCAAAATGGGAGGACGAAGGATAATTTGTACTAAGATGATTATTTATGTTATGTATGATTTTAAAAATCAAAAATAATCAAAATGCACAATAATAATGCCTAAGTTAATATAATAGAATACTGTAACTAGTTAATAGAATGCTATACAACTATAAAAATGACAAGAATATGGAATACAACAGTATAGGAAAATGTTTGAAATAATTTTATATAAAAAGGCATAAGAAATGATTATGTAAAAATGCTTGCATGCATTTGCTACAGAAATGGAAAACACTTTATTATTCATTTCTTTTGACTAAAGTTGCTTATGGTGATATTAAAAATGAAACAAATAAGCACAAAAGTAGTAGAAGGAATAAAAAAGAATAACAAATAAATTATACACTTAACATCTGTTTGTCAGAAAACTTCATAAACAAAGAATGCAAACAACAAACTGGATAAAATGTATGCTGCAAATACAACAAAGGGATGATATTCTTAATATGGAGAAAACTCATAGACTGAATAAAAATGATAAAGTGCCCACTTGCCCACTAAAAAAAGGCCAAATATCACAAATGAAAAAATACAAATGGTAATAACATAAAAATTGTTTAATCTCTTTAACAGTAAGAAAATGCAAATTAAAACAATAAAGATACTTTTACCTATCAAATTAGTAAAGATAAAAATGTAATACTACTTAATGCTGACGAGGGTAAAGTAAGACCGGCCAGCACACTAACTGGAGGGACTCATGGCGACGCCATGTGTTTCAGAATAAAACTACACTTCATAGGATTTTCAATGCTATTGACCTTTCATAAGATGGCCTCCCTTTCTTCTGAGGTGCCTCTGGGTGGGTTTGAACCTCTAACCTTTTGGTTACCAGTCAAACCTTAACCATTTGTGCCACCCAAGGACTCTTTGATCATGCCCAGAACCCTCTAAACCTAGCAGATCCTAGAGTTCAACCAGTAAAGAAGAGAAGTTTCCCCTGACAGAGGCCAGTTTAGTGGGTAAAATGTTTGATCAAATTATCAGAGGCTGAAGCAGGCTGTCTCTAGTACCTCAGCCCAGGCACAGTCATTTTCCTCTAACTTGTGCTTTCACCTCCAGACTTTCAGATAAAGAAATAAAAATTAAGTTCTGAGTCTCAGAGGTAGGAAGAAAAAATAAAGTTTGCCATAATAAACATCTATAAGCAAATTCATATATAGAATGTATGATAAAGATATTATACTTACCTTCGCTTTTCCCTGAAAAAGAAAAAATGTTTATAATTATAAACTCCTTCCAGAAGTACCTTTTAACATGCTACATTTTCATAAAAATAAGACTTTTTTTTTTTAATACTGGTAAATTTTAGACCATCAGTTCATCCACATAAGCAAAATCTTAGTGTGAGTCACTTGTGACTGCAGCTCTATCTAGTGGCGATATGAATTATGCCTGATTCAACTAAATGGTGTCATCTCCTGGAGCCTTGATAAAGAACAGCTTCAACTCACATAAGATTTAATATAGCTGACAGGAGAGAAAAATCTAATCCATCATCTAAGAGTACTATTAAATATCTTAAGTCTTTATGGTTATTTGGCTGGCAGTCAGCCATACTTATTTATCCTAAAGCTATAACATAGTTTCTGTGAAAGATTTGTGTTATTGCTTTGAAATCTCCAGAATGGCATTACAGAATTTAACCTTGTTCAGGAATATTTTTTAAGACTATAAGATTTAAATTATGCACAATGCAACAATTTATATGTAGCTGCTCATTTATTCTTGAAAAAAGTCTTCACTTTGTCCATTTTTCTTTAATACCATCATTGTTTGATTATAAAATAATATATGCTCATTGCAAATACCTGTTAAATCAAAAAAAAAAGGACACAGAAGAAATAAAAATAAAAAATCATCCATAACCCCCTTGCCCAAAGATAAACACTATTTACATTTTGGTAAATGTCCTTTTTAGTGTGTGCATAGATATTTAGACGTTACATTGTGTTTTCATAAAAATATACATACTGCTTTAAAACTTGCTTTTTTTTTTACCCAATGTGCTACTGATTGCTTTTGATAGAAATGAATACAAATTTACAGCAACATTTATAGTGGCTTTATTCTACTATGTGAATACAATACAACTCATTTAACCAGTTCCCTAGTGATAAACATTTAGATTGTTCCCATTTATGTTTAAAATAAGTGAGGCTGGTTAATTAATTTTATGAAGTCATAATGTGAGTTCATAGTGAAAATTATCTCGTCTATGAATTTGCATCTCATCTGATATTAAATCAATAGCTTCCACTGAGTCAACACATGTGACTCCTTAAAAACCCAAAAGCCTTGTTTAAAGATGTTCTTTCATTCCTAATGTAAGAAAGCCCAGTCTGCCAGCATTTAGGGAATGATGTAATCTCACCACTTTCCAGAAGGACCTTTATATTTACTGACTATATGAGATCAGCAACTCTTCAAATAAATTTTTAAAATGAAAACCTTACACATTTGCTAAAAGCACACCAAAGCTTTCATCAGTAAGCACACATTCAAAGACAGCATGGATATGTATTTCCTAAGGGAAAAGTCTGAAATCATACAATGAAATGGTTTATTCAGCAAACGCTTTTCCTATTATAAACTGAGCAGAATTTGTGAGTTTCAGTTTTATGTCCCCTATGGCACCTATTCCAACTCAGTTGGTGATGGGTTTGGTTTTATGGGTTTAGGGCACCTAAGAGGGCAGTAGTAATCCAGTGATAGAATTCTTGCCTTCTACACGGGAGACCTGGGTTCAATTCCCGGTCAGTGCAGCTCAAGCACAGCCACCACTCATCTGTCAGTGGAGGACTGCATGATGCATGCTGCTATGACGCTAAACAGCAAAGCCTCTAGACTAAGACAGACTAGGGAGAAAGCCTTGGAGATCTACTTCTAAAATCAGTCAATGAAAATTCTATGGATGATGACAACAGATCTCCTTGAACATGGGGTCGCCATGAGTCCGAGGCCTATTCAATGGCAGCTAACAACAACAGCAACATGGCACCTAGAATAGTGTCATGGCAACCCCATGCACAACTGAATGAAATGCTGCCTGGTCCTGTGCCACTCGCATGGTCAGTTGCAGATTGGACCACTGTGACCCATAGGGTTTCACTTGATGATTTTAGAAGTAGATTATCAAGCCTTTCTTCCAAAATAGTGCCTAGCACATAATAAACAGTACATAATCATTTGCTGAATAAACAAGCGGTTTTTACTCCTGTGGACAAGACCATTAAATGAGAAGAGCAATTTTCATTGATCATTTATCCAACAAACTACTCTCTCTCTTACGTGCCAAGCTCTGTATAAAGAGATGAAACAGATAAATGTTGCCCATATGTCCAAAGTACTATGGTAAATCAATAGATATATACAATAATAATAATAATGCTAGGCAGTGGAAAGGGCAGAAAGAAACAGCATGGCATGAGAATACTTCATGAGGGGGGAAGGTTACTTCCAGTTAGGAAGATCAAGGAAAGTTTTGTAGAAGAGACACAGCATTTGAGCCAGATACTGAGTGTAACTAGAAAATGAAAAATGTTTATGAGATACAAAGATGTGTGGATTTGCAACCAGACTCCTAACATACGCAATTATTTCAAGTTGTGTGAAAAATTTTGAAGCAGAAGTTATTTGGATATTCGTTTAACTGGAGGATGAATAAAAAGAGTAGAAAAATGAACACGTTAGTTTGTCTGCAAAATTCATAAAAGAAAAATATATATCCTTAAGCTTCATGCAATGATAATCTAATACCATAAGCATCTTTACAAAAATATTCATTATTAAAGTGTAAATATCTTAAACACCTATTTCTCTCAAGAGTGGGACGTAACTTCTGTGGAAACAGATTGTGGATTGTATCAACATTTTATCTTGCCTTCCCCTTCTTCTAATCAAAGTTCATTGGCTGATAAAATATAATAGTACCAATAAATAACTCACCTTGACCAGAGGCTAAAGGATTTAATGGCCTTTTAATTGTCTGTGGCCTAGAAATAAAAGAATTAAAGTATAAAATATAAATGTTACCAATTACTGGTCCCCACCCACCTGGAGCAAAGGAGAATGAAGAACACCGAAGACACAAGGAAAATATTAGCCCAAGAGACAGAAAGAGCCACATAAACCAAAGACTCCCATCACCCTGAGACCAGAAGAACCAGATGGTGCCTGGCTACCACCAATGACCACCATGACAGGGAACAAAACAGAGAGTCTCTGATGGAGCAGGAAAAAAGTGGGATGCAGAACTCAAATTCTAGTAAAAAGACTAGACTTAATGGTCTGACTGAGACTGGAGGGACCCTGGAAGACATGGCTCCCGGACTCTGTTAGCCCAAAACTAAAACCATTCCTGAGGCCAACTCTTCAGACAAAGATTAGACTGGACTATAAGATATAAAATGATATTCGTGAAGAGTGTGCTTCTTAGCTCAAGTAGGTACATGAGACTAAATAGGCAGCTCCTGTCCAGAGGTGAGATGAGAAAGCAGAAAGGGACAGGAGCTGGTTGAATGGACATGGGAAATCTGGGGTGGAAAGGAGGAGTGTGCTGTCACAGTATAAGGAGAGCAACTAGGGTCACATAACAATGTGTGTATAAATTTTCGTATGAGAAACTAACTTTAACTATAAACTTTCACTTAAAGCACAATAAAATATATATATATATATATCAATGTTACCAACTACATTATAATTATTTAAGTGAAATTGAAATTATCTCAAAAAGTTTCTTAATGTCTATATGCATCCAAAATCAAATTGTTTTATTGAGATTAAAAAAATATTTCATTTTCTCTAATAGCTTTAAGGAATGGTGGTTGCTATTTGATTTAGAGATAATAGCACTTAATCTTTTCCTTTTGTAGCAGATAGAAGGCCATTTCCTAATTACATCTGCAAATAAAGGGGGAAAAATATCAGTCAAGCTCCTTTCCTAGACTCAATAAAATGTTTATGGGGAGAGGGGCCACAGGGTATACCCCTAATTGAAAGGCAAGCAAGGAAAAAATATAATTACTCAACACATGCATTAAAATAAAAAAGGGAAAAAAACAGTGTGAGTAGATTATTTTCCACTTAGTAATTTTACATACATCAATTTGCCCTGTGGCCATCAAGTTTATGATTTAAATAAAAAGTAAAAAAAAATTTTAATAAGAAAAGCCAGAAGTTTTTAAGTGTTTTTAAATCCCAAAATAAGTATGCATTAGTATTAGTAAAGCATAGGTATTGTTTTAATGGCCATAATATAAATTTAAAAAAAATTTGTACTTGAGATATTCTGGAAAAAATAACATGTATGCTATATTTCAACACACTCAATATAATTAATTTATTGCCTCATATATTGTTTATATTGTTAGAAATATTATGGGAATCATGATATGAATCAGCTATAACTTTAAAACTAATACAAATCTAACAAATGCTTCAGCTGCATTCTTTCAGTTCACATTTTTTTAAAAACCTTTAAAGTGAGCCAGAATAACCAAACATTCCAAATAACAGTCAAGGGAACATAAAATCAAACACATGGCAGAAATGAGTAAAATAATATTTTAATGAAAACTCTCCATTTCCCAAACTGGAGAAATTCAAGTTAAAAAAAAAAAAAGTAGACATTTTACTGTTATTAGCATAATTGCTAATCTCTTACGCTTATATCTGACTTATAAAAGGTGAAATTTATTCTTCCCATATCTGAGACTCCAAAAATTTTCCCAAAACTTCCCCCACCTCAGCCTCTGAGATAGCATAACACACAAACACACACGAAATATAATTCCAAAATAGAGGCGAGAGGCTTCCAAGTGGATAACGTGAAGCATTTCTCAGCCATCCAGTGATCAACTTGACTGCTTTCATTATAATGGTTAAGAGTGCAAAGCTGGGCTCTTTCACTTACTAGATCTTTGACACTGGGGAGTATAGAACATCAAAAAAAGAATTAGGAGATGAAGATTTTAATGCATACCTTGACACAAAGTATATGATCTTGGAAAATTAAGTAAACCTCTCTGGCTCTACATTTCCTTGTCTATAAAATGACATTCTATAATCCACTCAAGGAACATTTGTTGAGAGGCTTTGATACTCCCATAAAGAATTAAAATTCTAAATCTTTTAATGAAGAAAAATACTTGTTGGAACTCATTTCTGGAGTTTTAATCAAACCAGAAGGGAACTGGATTAATTAATAGATATGTTTCTATATCCAAATACAACCGTTAACAAAGTAAATCTGATTTATAATTTATAGTCATTATGCTTTTATTCATTTGCTTATAAAGAGAAATCAGTACATCTTACAAGAATCTCTAAATGGAAATGACACATACTTGAAACAGTTTTCTTCATAGATGACATTCCATATCTTCCAAGCATCTGGTCCCTTGTAACCCGTGTAGCGCTCAGGATTAAGGAGCAAATCCACATATTCAGCATCAGGGGATTGTATGTCTGTAAGATGAAATGCTTTATTAAATCTTTATTTTCTAGTTATCTTTAAAAGCAAGTATACACGACTGTATCCCATTGATTCTAAGGCACCACAAATCTAACAATGCACCAGGGATTTTAAAACAATTTTTCAGAAAAAGGAAAGGAAGGAAAAGAGAGAGGAACAAACATAACCACATTAAATGCACACACTGGTTACAAAAGCATTCTGATTTTAGAAATGGTAAAAAAAAAAAGGAAATATGTGACTCTTAGAATCAAAGAATCATGGTAATTAAATTCCCATAAGCTATCCGGACAAAGAATATAATACACATGTCCTTCTATCATTAACTACAAGCATCAGTAAATAAGGTAAATGAAGAAGTATTAGCACCATTTCTAGATTCCAAATGAGAATGCATTGGTATATGCAGGTACATTGCTTGCTACCAAATACTTTCTTCTTAGATGACCACCATCAGGATCCACTACCCCGCTGTCCCAAAGATTTAATCCTAAATATGCAAAAAATTATATGCAGGATATTTGTGTCAGCATTATTTATAAAAGGGAAAATTGGAGCAATCTAAATGTTCAACACAGCACAGTAGTTAGGGGCATAGGCTCTGGAGTCAGTCCATGTGAATTAGGGTCCAGGCCCTACCACTATTCGCTGTGTCCTTGGACAAGTTATATAAATTCTCTATGCCTCAGTGTCATCATTTGTAAAATGAGGTTAACACTCATTGTGTTATTGTGAGACTTAAATAAGTTGGTAAGTGCAAAGTGCTTAGAACAATGGTAAGAGTATAATAAATTTTAGCTATTGGTATTCGTAGAGGGTCAACGAAAAAGAGGAAGACCATCTAAGAAATGGACTGACACAGTGGCTGAAACAATGAGCTCAAACATAACAACAATTGTGAGGATGGTGCAGGATCAGCCAGTGTTTCGTTCTGTTGTACATAAGGTCGCTATGAGTTGGAATGGACTCAACAGCACCTAACAACAGTGGTATTGGTATTATGATACACCTTGATAGACCATTTTATAACCAGTAAAACTGTTAAGTACAAAGGTTATTTAATCACATGAAAAGAGCATTATAGAAAAGCCAATTACAAATATATATATGTATATATGTACACATACACACACACAAATTGGTATGATACTGGCTTTTCTTTTTGTTTCTCTTATGTTCTATAGATTTATGTACTGTATTATAATTTCAAAACAAAAAAGATGGCCCCTAGTCCTCTAGTTGCTTTGGGAAATTATTTAATACCTTACTTATCTATGAAGCTTAACAATGGCAACAAAAATAGATGAGAAAAACCTGAGCACAAAGGTACTTATGAGAGAGTCCATTAAGCTCTCAACAGTACCTGTTATTGTTGTTAGGTGCCATTGAGTCAGTTCTAACTCATAGAGACCCTATGTAAAACAGAACAAAAAATCTACACTTGGTTATTTTTTCTCCCAATTCTCAGTGTATTAGAGGTATGAATAAGGGGGAAAGTTGCTTCTAGAAAAGCAGTGACAGCATCTAGAAATAACAGCCCAATACAGAAGTGGCAATTAAAATAACTAAAATAAATATAAGAACTTTAAAAAACATATTACCATGGGACTGTGTAGTTCAGGGACAGATGGCACTGTTTATCTCAGTTAATACTAAATGCACTGTCACAGTATAGCAAATTATAATAAATCCAGAAAAAAACCTAATTTTTAAAATATATAAATAATGCTCAGTATCTAGTACTTTAAGACAGAAAACTGACCACCAAAAAATTATAAAAATTTTTAAAATTTGGGCTAATTAAAGAATTAAACATTAATCGCCTCATAATTTTATTTATGACAAATACTTCATCTCTCCTTAACTTTATAAAAAAAGAATGTTACTATAAGTTTATGGAGCCCTGGTGGCACAGTGGTCAAGAACTATGGCTGCCAACCCAAAGATCAGCAGTTTGAATCCACCAGCTGCTCCTTGGAAATGTTATGGGGCAGGTATACTCTGTCCTATAGGGTCACTATGAGTCAGAATTGATTTGATGGCAACAGGTAATGGGTATAAGTCTATATTTTGCCACATGACAAAAGCTCAGATTTCTAATAAGGGTTTATAAAATATCTTCTGTACTAAACCTACATTACTTAGTCCTAAAAAAAAGTTAAATATATTTTACATCCTCTCTCCTTTAACAGGAGAAACAAATACAAATGGACAAGTAATTTGCTGAAGATAACAAAACTCCACCATTTAAGCAGTGAATTACTGATTCTCAGTCCATGCTATACAAATTCAACCATGTAGTCTCAAGAGGATATTTTGTTAAGAAAAGTTAAAGTCTTACCATTCCTTTATCACTACAAGTCTAAAAAAATTTCTGATGTTATAAATTTAATTTTATCTCATATAACAATGTTTAAGGTCAAAGAATCCTTATGGAAAAGATGGCAAAATAAGGGGCTGGGAAGGACTTTATTCCTCACTTTACTAGTCAAAATCTTGGTATAAATCCACAACCCCTTATCCAACAACCCTGGCTCCAAATGTCTTGAAGTTAAGAACTTTTCAGATTTTAAAAAGATAATACATAATAGATGAAGGGAAAGGCAATACACAATATGGGGGAAGTTAGCACAACATGACCAAGGCAAAGAAAGACACTGAAAAGAACAAAAGAATAAAGGGCAACTACAGTACCTACTATAACATACACAATCCTGCAACAATAGTGTTAAACAATAATTTACGAATGGATACGTAAGTAGATAGGTATGCTGAAGAGGTGTGGGAGGTGTAAGGGAGCACACCCACCTGCAGATATAGGTTTGGTTGTAGATATTTCTACATAAATAATTGTATATATATTAATACAGATGATAGAGCACACAAGGGGCACAGTCAAAGAAACTTCTTAGACATAACCAAACACTTCACAGGATGAAATTCCTAGGCTTGAAGGCGAAGGACCATAGACTCGGGGGACATCTACATCAATTGGCACAACACAGTTCATAAAGACAGTGTTCTACATCCTACTTTGGTGAGCAGCATCTGGGATGTTAAAAGCTTGCTAGTGGCCATCTAAGATACAACTACTGGTCTCTTCCTGTCCAGAACAAAGCAGAGTGAAGAAAACCAAAGACTCAAGGGATCAATTAGTCCAAAGGACTACTGGCCCACATGAACCACAGCCTACATGACCCTGAGACCAGTAGAACTAGACGGTGCCTGGCTTCCACCCAACTGCTCTGACTGGGATCACAACAGAGGGTTCCAGACAGAGTGGGAGAAAAATGTAGAACAAAAAATCAAACTCACAATAAAGACCAGACTTACTGGTCTGACAGAGACTGGAGGAACCCTTGAGACTATGGCCCTAAGACACTTGTCTGACCTGGAACTGAAGACCACCTTTCAGCCAAACAATATACAGGCCTATAAAATAAACAATAACACCTGAAAGGAACGTGTTTCTTAGAACAATCAATTATATGACGGCAAAAGGACAACATTTTCCCAAAAGTAAAGATGAGAAGTCAGGATGGGGTAGAAAATCCAGACGAAAGGAAATGGGAAACCCAGTGCAGGAATGGGGAGAGTGCTGACACAGAGTGGGGAATGCAACCAATGTCATGAAACACTTTATGTACAAACTATCTAACAGGAAACTAATTTGCTCTATAAACTTTGACCTAAAGCACAATAAAATTTTTTTTAAAAGCTAATACAGTTTACACAACATATATTGAATGTTATCCTAGCGGGGCCTGGGGCAGCACCGCTTAATCAAACACATAAATATTTCTGCAGCAGTGAAACATACGATTATTCACACTAAATGTGTCTGTCCTAAATTTAGGGAAGAAAAATTCACATAGTTTTCAGATTTTGGAATTAGGAATAAGGGATTATAGATATGTATTTGCCAAAACATGGTCATATTTTCTATTAAAGAAAGAATTTTTTTTTCCAACAAGAGGCCATAAAATTAAAAATAAGTACTTTCTTTTTTTCTTCCTCTTTTGCAGGGATAGCAGGGATCACCTTTTACTTGTAATTAAAATTATCTGTATCATTCTTTTCACTAATTTTTTTAAAGATCATTAATCCATTCCAGAGGGGCCATAAAGGGATACCAAAATTCAATTTGATTTGATTTTGTGTTTAGCCAGTTAATAGGCTAACAATCAACTTAAAAAAGGAAGAATGGGAGAATCTATAAATCTCGATCAAAGAGGTCTAATGGGTCATAGATTCTAACAGCACTAGAGCCCTGGCCTAGCTTTTGATGTTGCAGACACATCTCATGGTCCAGTATTCTCTTTTCCAAAAGCTACAACGCAAATACATAACAATCCAAAATCAATATAACAGAAGAAATTTTTTGCAATCCCTATATTCTAGCTATTTATGCAAAAAACCTGTATATTTTACAAAAATTATATAAACTACTAGACACACTAAACAGCAAAACTTAAAAGGCGGATTTTTTCCCCAGAAGCTGAATTATATAAAATATGTTCCAGTATTTCCAAAACTGGGTTGTATAAAAAATTTTTCAAAAACCTGAGCCATTTTTAAAAATACAAACATATATTTAAGTGATTCTAAAAGAATTTAGCTTCTTTTTTTTTTTTAAGTCTGGGCCCTACCATGTTCCCTTCAATAGCTCTCTGTATTCTTATGAGTCTAATCCCAATACAACTAATACCAGGTAATTTTGGCATGGGGTAAAAGACAAAGTGGCAGAAGACTTGAAAGAGGGAGAAGGATAAAGGACAGGGAATCCCATGCTACACAGCTCTAATCCTTGCTCATCATCTTCTGCCACTACTAATTTTCCAAAATTCTCCATCACTGCTTTGTTCTGCTTCCTGTGTTAGAATAGGAAGTTGACACATGGTATCTTCATAATATCATTACATTCTTGCTCTGAGTTTTGATATCATTTCATCTTTTTCTCTTCTCTGTAGTTTGAGACGGCACAGAGCAGACAAAGCGTTCAATTTCTCACTTAAGAAATTATTTTTTTAAATAATTTTTAAGAATTTACTTTCTTCTTAGGTATGATTTTAACATAATGCATACTATAAAAAATGTTATACCATCAGCTTCACAAAAGTTGTCTGAGGAATCATCATGCTTGGTCCACTGAAGAACAGCCTTCTGTGTTTCTTCACTGCAAATAAAGAAATTGAATAGTGTTATTTTGTTAAGTTAACATTTGATATGAAAGAAACATAAAATACTGCTGCAAAAATCAAACCTCAGAGATTCATCCACAGCTCCAAGTCGCTCAGCTTGTTCACATTCTTCAATAAGATTATTGGCTTCTTCAGAATACTAAAATAAAAAGGGAAATAAGTAGAATAAACAATGCATTTTAAAAATTAAAAAAAAAAAAAGAATTTAAAAATCATTTCAGGTTCTTTTATACTTGGCACCATTATCTTAGATTCAAAACCTAAAAATATTTTTTTTTAAATTAAGTCCTCACATTCCGCTTGAAACTAAAAAATAAATAAAAGTCTTTGCTCCGTGTACCAATGTTCATTGCAGCACTGTTCACAATTGCCAAAAGGTAGAAACAACTGAAATGTCCATCAATTGATGAATAGATAAACAAAATGTGGTATATATATACAAGGAAATTTTACTCAGCCAGAAAGAGGAATGAAGTCCTGATGCATGCCACAACATGAATGAACCTAGAGGACATTATGCTGAATGAAGTAAGTCAATCACAAAAGGACAATATTGCGTGCTATCGCTTACATGAAATAAGCAAATATATAGAAACCATAAGTAATCAGTGGTTACCAAAGTGTCCGATAAGAGATTCTTTGTGGTATAAAGAAGTTACTCCGGTACAACAGTTAAGCACTCAGCTGCTAATCGAAAGGTTGGCAATTTAAACCCACTTGGCAGCTCTATGGGAGAAAGACCTGGAGATCTGCTCCTGTAAAGATTACATGGGTCACATGGGATCACTCTGAGTCGAAATTGACTGGATGGCACCTAACAACAACAGGCAAGGAATCAAGATGCACTGTCCTACTTTTCTAATAACCTAACTGTGGGCATCAGTTTTCTCTTCCATAAAATGAATAGTTGGAGAAGATCATTTGTGTCTAAGGTTCATCCCAATGCTAAATTCCATGACCCTAAGAATGCCCTGGAGCCTACCAAATCTTATAAAAAGTATTCCAATATCTTTAGGCATTTAAAACATATTCTTTAACAACTATGTTTCTTCTCAATGCCTACATCATTGTATATATTTATTCATTCTGCACGCACATGGCACAGGGGAAGCAAGTATGGATCGTGAGACTTCACAAAACACCAGTCATCACCACCAAGCAACTGAAAGACAACACTGGAGGCAGGAGTCCACAAATTCAATCATTCATCAAATATTTATTGCGTGCCTATTATGGCCTTATTTGTCCAAATGACCATACAATTTATGTTCAGACTGGGATACTTTCGAGGATAAGATGAACACTAAAATAATTAAAGTGATATAATTTTTTAAAACATTTATTTATTGAATGACAACCTTGTTATTGGTCAATTTATAAGACAGTTTATGGGGTAAAAAATTTAACTTTACCCAGATAATTTTGGCCTTTGTCCTTGGTTCCTAAAAGATAACCTCTCCCTCATGACTGAAGTGTTATTGTTATCTATAAGAGCTCTAGATCTGACAGGGTATGCTAATGAGGTGAGTCAGGTGGGGTTGGCCATGCCAGAAAGACCCACTGCTTGATATGAGCCAAACTCAGGGGAGCAGGGCCTGATCTAATCACTCATGACTACCTAATGAGGTCCCAATAAAGGCTCTGGGTAAGGAAGCTCCATGGACTTCCTGGTCGGTGAAAGACATGGATATACATGAGAGGGTATTATGTCCCTTTTTGGGACATGATGTTCTGTGTTGGGAACTCTCCCAGAGTCTCTTCATCTGTTGCACAGGTATATACATTTTTCAAAATTCAGAAAATGTATATTTAAGATTTGTGCATTTCATTATATTCTAATTTTATGTAAAAAAATATATATAGACTAATATTGAACTCTATAAGTGACATACATCAAGTTACATATATATGTGTAGGGGAACATACATCAATACCTATGGTTTACTTTGAAATACATCCCCAAAATAAGGTATTTTGATAGATGGCTATATGGATGGATAGAAGGACAGATATGTGCTAAGTATGCCAAAATAAAGGTAAAATCTAGGTGGTGGGTATGAATGTTCATAGGAAAATTGCTTCAACTTTGCTGTGTGTTTGAAATTTTTCATAATAAAGTATTAGGAAAAATTAATTTAGAATAGTTCTTTAGTCTAAATGAAAAATCATGTATCCCAGAATAACATGTAAACGCACCCTCTGCAAATCCACCTGTTAAACTGTCTTTAGATGTAGTCTTCTTAAAATAACCACTAACTTATGAAGTAGAGGCTAAAGTTTTGCCAGCAGATTTGTGTGTTCTGGTTTTCACATGGCCAATGATATTTCTATGGCCTTATGATGGAAAATGTTGGCCTTTGTGCAAGTTACATATTCTCATCAGCTCTCATGAAAAAGGGAACTTCAGTACTTAAATTTTCATTAAACGTGTACTTCCTTTTTTCTTTTTCTATTTTTAATTATTTCAGCCAGAAGGATTCATTGCAAAATAAAAACGCATTAAACCAAAAAAAACCAAACCCATTGCCGTCAAGTCGATTCCTACTCATAGCGACCCTGTAAGGCAGAGTAGAACTGTCCCATAGGGTTTCCAAGGAGCCGCTGGTGGATTCAAACTGCTGACCTTTTTTGGTTAGCAGGCGTAGCTCTTAACCACTGTGCCACTAGGACTCAAAAAAAAAAAAGTGCATTACCTAGTAGTAAAATAAATATATAGGTGTTGGTTTACACTATGCAATAAAGAAGAAAACCACTATAGCAAGACTGCTCTCTCTATGCAGGATTGATTCAGCCTCTATTTCCCATTCATAATTTCTCGTAAGTCTCACCTATAATTTTCCAGTATTCCCACTGACTTGCCTGCCACCTGATGGCCCAGATGCTTAGGGCATATCACAGACGTGACACAGGCCACAACACAAATGGCTACTAACACCAAGACATCAGACATACTCCTAAGTATAAAAGCATACCTTGTAGCTCGCAGATTTAATCCCATCAGGAACCTCATCCTGAAAAAGAAAACAAAATTGTTTTTATGGTGATATTTATTCTAGCATCTGAAAATATTTTATTTTTTATTAAATATTTTAATTTGATTAAAGTTAATAAAAAATTATTAAAGTTATCAGATTATTTTTTAACAGAGAATGGTTATGCAGTTTTTATACTTATTTCTTAAAAGTAAAAATTCAACAACAAATTATTGTATGGATTGCTAATCTTATATTTTGTTACTGCATGGAGATGTAAATAGATTCACTTAGCCATTATTCCTTTTGATGCTCAGATTGTCCCATATTTAACCACTAGGAGCTCCACAGGTGCTAACACCTGTGTTGTTTTGATAGTACACCAGTAGTCTTTAGTAGCTTTTTGTGCTTTCTTTTATGACAAGATAATCAAGGCTCATCTTCTATATTTCTTACTTCAGTCTTGGAATCAGCCATTTTTTAAGGAGCTCTAGCTCTTTTCAGAGGAAAATGGTACTGATTTTTAGTCATGCTTTGGCCTCTTACTAGCTATAGGAACTAGGAAAAGTAACTCAGATCCACTTATCTGCCTATCCCTCAAAGTGATACTGTAAGTAGAAATAATGATGTATGTGAGAGAACGCTGTAAATTGCAGGAAACTATTCAAATATTGGAGCCCTGCTGGCACAGTGGTTAAGAGCTTGGCTGCCAACCAAAAGGTCGGCAGTTCAAATCCACCAGCCTCTTCTTGGAAATCCCATGGGGCAGTTCTACTCTGTCCTATAGGGTCACTATGAGTCGGAATTGACTGGACAGCAACGGGTTTGGTTTGAGTTGTTTTTTTTTTTTTATTATTCCAATATAAAGTATATTCCTGGAATAGATTATGCATGCCCTAAGGGAAGGACCCACACAGAGATAATCACTTTGTGTACCCTTCCAGACTTTGACCTAGGTTAATGCATATTCTTTTTCTACAGCCAGACATTTAGATGGTTTCCAATTTTTTCATATAATAAACTATGCCAAATTTATAGATTAATTTCAGAAGAATTGACATCTTTACAATACTCAGTACTGCCTTAGGATATCTTTAAACATTTGTCCAACTATTTTATAAAGTGAAATTCCTAGTAAAATTCCTGGGTCAAAGAGTATGGGTACCTTTCACATGTTTTGCTGTGTGTATTTTCACCAAAAATACAATAACATATTTTTTAAAAAAAAACATACTACACAGCTACAGTAATCAAAACAGCCTAGTACTGGTTTAATGATAGACACATAGACCAATGGAATAGAACATCCAGAAATAAATCCAAATGTCTATGGTCAATTGATTTACAGCAAGGTTGTCAAATCCATTCAATGGGAAAGGAGAAGTCTCTTCAACAAATGGTGCTGGCAAAACTGGACTTCCACATACAGAAACATGAAACAAGATCCATACCTCACATCATACACAAAAAGTAATTCATTTTCATCAAAATGGGTCAAAGACCTAAATGTTAAATCTAAAACCATAAAGTTGTTGGAAGAAAGTATAGGAGCAAAGCTTTGGGACCTAACGTTTTTCAATGATAGATTATCAAACACAACAATGAATACATGAGCAACAGAAAACAAAACAGATAACTAGGACCTCATAAAATTTAAATACTTTTGGTCATCAAAAAACTTTTATCAAAAGAGTAAAGAGACAACCTACAGACAGGGAAAAAATCTTTGGGAACAATATAACTGATAAGCATCTAATATCTAAAATATCTAGAAAACTTCTACAGCTTAACAGCAAAAAGACAAATAACCCAATCAAAAAACTGGGCAAAGGACATGAAAAGACAAGTCATCAAAGAGGATATTCAAATGGCCAACAGACACATTCAAATGGCCAAAAGATGCTCAGTGTCATTAGCCATCAGAGAAATGCAAATCAAAACCACAATGAGATACCATTTGACTCCCACTAGGATGGCCAAGATAAAAAAAAAAATGGAAAATAACAAGTGTTAGAGGGGATATGGAGAAATTGGAACCCTCATCCATTGCTTGTGGGAATACAAAATGGTACAGCTATTGTGGAAAAACAGTCTGGCAGTTCCTCAAAAAACTAGAGGTAGAGCTGCCATATGATCCAGCAGTTCTACACCTAGGTATATACCCTAGGGATCCAATAGAAGTGACACAAACAGACATATGCACACCTATGTTCATCGAAGCACTATTCACGATAGCAGAAAGATGGAAACAACCTAAGTGCCCATCAACAGATGAATGGATAAGTAAAATGTGGTATACTGATACAATGGAATACTAGAAGAATGAGTTTCCAAACATCTTGGAACATGGATGAACCTGGAGGACATTGTGTTGAGCGAAATAAGTCAATCACAAAACAAAAACAAATACTGTATGTTCTCACTTTTATGAAATGACACGAACAAGTAACTATACAGAAAGTAATGTTCATTAATGGTTACCAGGGATGGGGAGAGAGGAGGGATTCACTCTCTACATAGCAGACATTTATTTTTGGTGACAAGAAAGGTAACACCAAATGAGGGTGAAGTGTATACAGCTTGACAAAGGTAAACAACATCACTAATAAAGGATAAAGGACCTGTTGGTAATTGCTGTGGCATATATAATTTTGAAATAATAGCAAAAACAACCAAAAAATATATGTGCGGGTTTACATGTACGAAATAGGCATATATGTGTATAGGTGTATATATATGCTCATACAGTCAGGTGTATGCTATATGTATATATATTCATAGGTATAATAAAGCACATAGAAGGCACAGTTATGGATACTTCTTAGACTTAAACACCTCATGGAATTGGATTTCTGGATTTGAAGGATTAGGACCATAGTCTCATGGGACATATCAGTCAACTGGCATAGTATAATTCATAAAGTTATGTTCTACATCCTAGTTTAGCGAGTAGTGTCTGGGGTCTTAAGATACAACTGTTGGTGTCTACTTATCTGGAACAAAAGAAGGAAACCAAAGACTCAAAGAAACTAGTCTATGGGACAAATAGTCTACACAAACTACAGCCTCATCTACCCTGAGAGCAGAACTAGATGGTGCCCAGCTACTACTACTGACCATTCAAATCAGGGCCACAAAAGATGGACCCTGATAGAATGGAAGAAAATGTGGAATAGAATCTCAAATTCCTAATTAAAAAAAAAAAAAAGACAAAGAGATGTTGAACCTGAGGAAAAAAAGTGTATGTACCTTTTTAAATTTTTGATACATTTCGCCGAACTGATCTCCAAAAAGATTTAACTCCCTGCATGCTCATTTCTAATTCCCAAACTAACACTGGGTACTGTTATTCCTTTTCACGTTGGCCAATTAATGAGAAAGAAACCTGAAGGGAAAGAACCTTGTTTAGATTAACTGTAAAAGGTCTAAATAACTGACCTTTCAGCTTACACTGAGATACCCCAGCCTCCGTGGGTGGACTGACTGCCTCATTCAAATCTTCTCTGGAAGCAGGGATGCAAATCAAGGGATGTGGTTTTTATAATGCCAAGTATAAGGAAGAGAATTTCAACCTTGATTATTTTTCTACCTCCTACTGGGTCCCAATGTATAACCTGAACCAAATCAATAAATGAACTAAAAAAGGAAATCAAAGAGTTGACACCAAGAAAACTGGCCCTGGTTTCTTGCTTATCCCAAAAAGGCATTAATAAAACTGCAGCAGGCCATCTGACATAGTGAGTGACCTGTGTTTAACCTTTCACATATATTAAGAAAAAATTGTTCATTTTATTAGGTGTGATAATGGCACTGTGGTCATGAGTAATGTCCTTTTCTTAAAAAAGATGCATATATAGTATCTACCTATAGCATATATAGTATATAACAGTGAGATGTCAAGATATCAGCATGTACAAAATAAATGCTAGATATATTATTGTTGATGTGTGCTGTCGAGTCAGTTCCGACTCATAGCAACTCTACAGGACAGTGCAGGACTGCCCCCTTAGGCTGTAAATCTTTGTGGGAACAGATCGTCAGGTCTTTTCTCCCGCAGAGCAGCCAGGTGGGTCAAACCCCCGACCTTCCGGTCAAGTAGCTGAGCGCTTAACAATTGCACTACCAGGGCTCCTTATGCTAGATAGGAAAGCCAAGAATTTAGGCTGAAGCAAGTATTTCAAAATACTTAAAATGATCTGTAATCACTCTTTAGTTCTGACACACCACCCTATTTGGGAACTACTAGAACTGAGCCCAGATTTTCCTAAGAGCAGTGTAAATTGTTCATTTCCTCATCTTCACTTCTTCTTCCTCTGCTCTCCCTTCCCCTCTGCTCTACTGTGTATAAACCTTCAGTGTATCTCTATTACTGTTATATTCGTAGTGAAATGATCACTTAGTGTTTCTCTCCCCTACTAGACCATAAGCTCCTCAAGGACAGAGCCCAGCTTGTTTGTTCATGTCCTGGCATATAGTAAGCCCTCAAAATATATTCATTATTAAACCAAATTATATTCAATTACTAACTGATACTCCTTCACCAGTCACTTCTCCATTCCTCTACATCTTCTGGTCCCTACTCTCTACAATATTGCCAGTTATCTTTCTAAAGCTTGGCTCCAATCATGCTACATATACATATATATTTGTAACTAAGACTATTTTAGGTGGATAAACATCATCTTACTGTCTTTTAAAGAAAGAGCATTCTCTCCACTGTGAAATCAGTTTAAGGAAAACAAAAAACAAAAAAACTGAGTATTGGTGTGAAAAGCGTTCTGCTCCAGTTTTGCAGAAACTGAAATAACTAGATCCTGTCTCAGTTTCTCAGTACAAATTGCTAACTTTCATCTGATTCTCTCTTAGCATTTCTATGTGTTCAAATCGAGTAATAAACATCTATTTTTTAGTATTTTTTAAATGCTAAAAGTGGTTGTTTTCCCTCAGTCTGTTAATCTGGTAATCCATAAACTATCATTTTACGCTAACCATCCTTTGGTTTTTCTGTCCCCTCCAATCTTCTTCTCAAAGTGACATCCTCTAGTTCTTTGACTAATAATCAAAAATAACTGCTATCTCAAAATGAGATTTTACTTTGTACTAATTGTAAAACTCTTTGCTTTTTCTGACTCATGTCAATAAAAGCCTAATTAATGCATGTGTGTGAATTAAATACTTTTGTAAGTATCTACCATATTTTTAGCATTTTTAATAACTCACATAAATTAACTGTTTGTAAATCTAAATTTCTCCAACTAAATTTTTCCTACTACTGAAATATTAATGCAAAAACTTATTAAATAAAATGAAATATTTTAATTGATACCACTTTAATGATATGCTCACGCTTTAATAATAGTAACATGTTTCATAAGTGAATCCTTGAATTTTCAAAAAGCTGTTATTTATGAGGTTTAATATAACTAAAAACATGTTTATCATTCATCCTCATGAAAAAATACCATAAATAATATTTTACATTTTCTTAATGTAAAATTCCACATGTTAGTTCTATGTAAATAGGGCTATGTACCAAAGTTTAAGTGTATAAAAATACACTGTTTCATGAAAAGTGTAAAAATTTCTCTGCTTTCACAGTATCCTACTTCAAATTTTAATGCTCCAAGAATTCTTAAGTAAAACCAGGTGTTTGTCTATTAATCTCCCCCCAAATGAAGAAGTAATACACCTATAAAAAAAGGGACAACTTTTGTTTATATCTCAGATAAATTTCATTTTATCACACTACAAACGTAACTTTGTTCAGGTAAACTGCAAGAAGAAAAACACAAATCAAGCCAAAAGAACTACAATCATTATGAAGGCAATATAATTCAAAGTAGGTTTTATATTTATAAGTTTAGAATTTCATATATGTAAATATTAAATATTTTATTTAACCTAAGGATTGAAATATTATTTTTAGTTATATTGGCCCCTTTTTAAAATGTTGCAATGGACAAAAGAGGATGTAATAGTTCTTAAATGTATATATCGTTCTTACAGATTGACAAGGTTTGACAGCACAATCCCTTCTTCCACACTGGTTGATATCATTCCAGAAAGGACATGGCCTCTTCAGGTTTACCTGAAAAATAATAATAGAAAAAAAGTTATAAAAATAAAGATCTCAAGATTACAACTGGTAGGTGCTGAATTTTGATTCTATAACCTGGTCATGTTATTGGCTGCAATTATTCTAATTCTTCCACTCAGCTATTGTCAATTCCAATAATTATATAAATGTGTAGCTTGTATAAGTAAATTGATAGACTTGCTTAGAAAGACACAGACTGCTACTAAACAGACCCTGAACAAAATAGCTCATATTATCACTGCTCAATTTATATTCTTTTTAAGTAAGTAACATTTAACAGGTAGATCAGTTAGACAACTCTGAATTCAGAACATAACTAAATACACCAATAATAAGGTTTTCTAAATTCTTTCAGAATAAAATACCACAAATTACTTGTGAAAATGATACATGTCAAAATAGAGTCATGATCCTCAAAAATTTAATTACTTTAATTAATTAGAGTCAATTTGATGTTTTAGAAAATTATAAACAATTCATTGCTTTGATAATGATATAATAGTTTCTGTTCTTAGTTCAATTTAATCAGTTTCTAACTTTAGCAAAATTCAGTTATTGAAATTAAAAGTGTATCCAATGTGTGTTCACCATTCAGAATCACACGGTTCAGTCTTGTGAAATGAATTTTCCTAATAAAGCCTCTATTAATTTTACATAATAGTCACAACTTAGAAGCTTAGTGATTTCTAAGAAAATATAATCATCCATTTAAACTTTAAGTAGTCTTATACAAAAAAATACCTTATAATATCTAAAGTAGTCACTTTCCAGAAGTTTTTGCAGTCTTGGGAAAAGCTTGTAGTTATTAAATCTATCGATGGTTTCCACATCACAGGTACAATCATCCAAATAACCACTAACCTGTTACAAAGAAAATAAAATATTAAATTGAAATTTCCTAGATGCAACAGGTTTCTTTTTTCCTCACATGGTTTTTATGAAATATCTCCCAGTTCAACCAACTCTTACCCTCCCTCCCCTTATAATTTTCTGAGCTAGGGTATGACAATAATTCAGAAATATTATTGCTCTTACTATACGCCTAAAGAATTTAGTGGATACCTTTTGGAGAGTGTGTCAAGCTCACAAAACACCCACACCCTCCAGGGATTTGGCCCTGGCAGCCGTTTTATAACCCTGCCGTCTAGGTCACAGTTGACTTGACCAGCCATTGATATCTGACCTGAACCAGGTCATGATCTCTTCTCTAGGAATCTAGACTTGAGACTAAGTGGGAGAGATGTCTCTCCCCGTGGTGACCTGTAAACAAGTAAATTCAGACCATATTCCATCATGTGAACTGAGGAGCATATGAGCCAGTTGGCAGAAAGATTTTAAAAGATACAAAAAGAAGCACGATGGGAGATAGACAGCATATGCTACTCAGAATCTCTAGGGTTTTCCAACTCCCACTTCCACCTGTTCTTCCTGAAACCCATCTGCATTCCTGTCCTTGAGTTTCCTGAGATTCTGTATTCTTATAATTCAGTTGTCTCTGCCTTCCCTCTGTTTCAATTTCCCACAGGATGTTAGTACAGAAACAAGCTTGGTGAATGTAATAAAAGTGATACTGAATTTCTAAGAAAAACAATAATTCATTATAAAGACCTACCCAAACTCAAATATTGTGCCACAGCAATTTTGATAGTTTGGAATGGTGATTGGAAATTACTTACCATTAGCAACACTGAGAGATCAAACTGACCACACAGCCAATCCTGATCTTCAAAAGTTCAAAATTGATATCTTAACAATATCTACTAAACCCAAATCCATTGCCGTCGAGTTGATCCCAACTCATAGCGACCTATAGGACAGAACAGAACTGCCCCATAGAGTTTCTGAGGCTGTAATCTTTATGGAAACAGATCGCCAAGTCTTTTTTTCCATGAAGCAGCTGGTGGATTCGAACTGCCGACCTTTTGGCACACTTAACCAGCATGCCACCAGGGCTCCTTGTATCTACTAAACCAAACTATTCAATGCACCTATACTAACATGCAATGGGACATCATATTATAATCAGACAACATTATCAGTTGTGAAACTAATATCCTTAGATGTTTATTTGAGGCCAGGCAAACACCAAATAGTTTATTAAACATTGCTTTATGTATGTAACAAATATGTACATTATGATTCAAGAAAAATAACTAGATTTTTTTTAAAGTACAGAATGCTGCAGAAAAGAGATCCGTATCCCACTTTAGTGGGAAAATTTCCACTGTAAACTACGCTGGATTATGTTTGAGGGACATCTATTATCAATCAATCAATAAATATATACATAATCTACTGGTAAGGGAGAAAATAAACAATATTTAAATACTGAATTTAGATTTTTGGAATAAGAAAAATCTTGCACTACCTTTTAATCTTAGACATCACAAAACAGTAACGGAAAATTTCACCCAAGCAATAAGAATACTTTGGATGATAACAGCAATATTCAAGAGCTAAGACTTTTTACTTATTTGCCTAGTCTTACTTTGTTTCGGATGAGCTAATTCAGTTCCTAGTCCCTGCATGGCACAGTTGGTTAAGCACTCAACTACTAACTGAAAAGTTGGTGGTTCAAACCAACCCAGAGGCACCTTGGAAGAAAGGCCTGGCGATCTGCTTTTGAAAGATCACAGCCTTGAAAACCCTATGGAGTATAGTTTTACTTTGCAATATATGAGGTCACTATGAGTTGAAATTGACTCAACTGCAACTCGTTTGGTTTTGTTTTGGTTTAATTCAGTTTCTAGAAATCTGATCTACATATTTTTTCATTGTAATAACTATTTTTATTTCATATGCAAATATGTCCATGTTTCCTCCTAAAAATTCTCTGAGTATACAATAATCTTAGAGTCTTAATTCTGGATACCAACAATACAAAAGTGTGCAACCTATGTCACAAAACAATTTGTGTACAAATTTTTCAATGAGAAAATAATTTGCACTGTAAGCTTTTACCTAAAACACACAAACACACCAAAAAAAAAATTTTTTTTTTTTAAAAGACCAGACTTACTGGCCTGACAGAGACTGGAGAAACCCCAAGAGTATGGCCTCTGTACACCCTTTTAGCTCAATAATGAAGTCACTCCCAAGGTTCACCGTTCAGCCAAAGATTAGACAGCCCCATAAAACAAAATGAGATTAATGGGGCACAACAGTCCAGGGACAAGGACTAGAAGGCAGAAGGGGACAGGAAAGCTGGTAATAGGGAACCCAAGTTTGAGAAGGGACAGTGTTGACATGTCGTGGGGTTGTTAACCATTGTCATAAAACAATATGTATACTAACTGCTTAATGAGAAACTATTTGTTCTGTAAACCTTCATCTAAAGTACAATAAAAAAAATTTTATTTTTCACACCTAAAGAGATTGTTTATACCTTTATTTTGAGCCTTCAAAGTAGAACTCCTAAGGACATAAAATAGTTACTATTTCTCCCCTTTGATACAAATTATCACACAAAGAATAAGACTCAGAGACTCCAAAGGCCAAAGGGACAGTTGCCAAGCAGAGACATTCAAAGAGAAATAAACACATACATACACACAAATAAAAAAAAAAAACTTGAGAGGAAGAATTTAAAGCATAACAAAGACAACCCATTCCCAAAAGGGATTATAACCACAGGCACAGAAATTAAGTTTTATTACACATATTGTCAGGGGCAAATGGGGGGGGGGGGAACAAAACACTCTCTGGCTATAAAAAAGAACATAAAAGTTATCCATTTGTTGACAGAGTACACTGAGACAACTCCTTGATTGATGCCTGGGAACATCAATCAAAGATTCTATAAGGTAGTCAGCATCATTCTAAAGATATGGAATGCTAAGAACTATTTCTGCTTTAAACTTTTGGTCTTACTAGAACTTTAAATTGTTTCCAAATCACCCACAGTATGCCAACCCATACAAAAGTATTTCTTCCAATCAATTTGTTCAAAAAAGCCTGGCTTATAGCAGGCATTCAGAGAAACGGTCTCATTGTACAGGTCTCCAGTATAACCTGTTTCAAAGATCCCTCTGATTAAGTTTTAATCCTGGGCTTATTTCCATCCACCACTGAACATGTCTCTCCCATGACCCAGCCACTTCGGTTAACAAATAAAAACCTTTTTAAAGTTGACCGAAACAAGACACTTGACAGGTAAATCTGACATAATATATGTATGTAGACTGTATCAAGCATTCCAAAATGCATTCCACGCATTTAGGAGTAGTCGTTTTGGATTATCTTTCATTATTGGAAGATAATATTTCATTATATATAAAGAAATACAATATTTCATTATTATTATTGGGTTAACTTTCATTAGTTTGATAGAGAGCTACTGCACTCAAATAAATGGCTCTGATTGTGCAGTTAAGCACTAGCCACATTAATACTGAGTACATACAAGTTTACAAACTTAGTTCTAAGTAATTTAAATGAAAAAGATGTTCATATTGCCTCTGTATCTGGGCTCAATATTTCTCCTGAGGTTATTTCTTTAAGATGCATTCTGGGATTTCATGAATGTGAATAAAATCTGTTACACTCATTCTCTCTAATGATACATAATGAAGAAAACCCTGTGGATCACAACGGTCAGATCTGCAACCCATCATGGGGATGGCACAGGACCAGACGGTGTTTTGTTCTATTGTGCACTGGCTCACCATGAGTTGGGCCAACTCAATGGCAGCTAACAACAACAATAAGCAGCTCTGAGGGTCTTTCGCTTACTTTAAGTCCAATCTTACTACAACAAATATTACAAATACTGTTTTGGTTTAAAGCAAGAGCTGACCCTGATTATGAGGGGGTTACACAAATCTATGCAAGTGTTAAACTTCATAGACTTGTATGCCAAAAGGAAAAAAAGAAGTTAATGTTACTGTGTAATAATTTTTTAAATTTTAATAAATTAAATTAAATGACATCTTGTAAAAAGCAGGGGATTGTATATAAGGAAGATATACAAGTCCCAGAAAACCGATCACTTAACAACTAACACTGAAGCACTAATATAAAAAGAATTTACAACTTATGGGAAAATTGGTTTTGGTAGGATTTGATGTCAAATAGAAGTATCCAAATAACAGGCACACATAATATCTGACTAAATTTAAAGAATCATTTCCAAACATTAGGTGAAAGTTTAGTTGTTAATTTAGTTTTCTAGAAATATTTAATTTTTTAAGTGTTTACAATACCTCCCACCCTTCCCCAAAATGAACATTATTCACTAAACTGAGTTCTTCAGGGCAGGGATGATGCTGTAGTCACTTGTGTATCAAAAGCACAGGTCAGTGTACATAATGCTTCTAAATGCTTGTTAAATGAATAATTGACACCATTCATCTCCTCTTATCTTTATTTCTCCCCCTCCTCTCTCTCTGTATCCATGTCTATGTGCTTGTCTCTGTTTTTCTCTTCATGTCTACTCATCATCTTCCTCTTCCCTCTCGTCTCAACCTCATTCCTTTTCTTACTGGCCATAATAGAACTGAAGTATATTTTTCGTTTCACTTACTGATTTGAAATTGATGGTTTCTGTTCTTAAGTTCAATGGCAATGAGTTTGGTTTTGGGGTTTTGGTTCTTACTTTTTTTAAGTAGATCATTTTAAATTTCTCTTAAAAATTGTTTTTTATTATGTGATCCTCAATTTATTATCTTGTAAGTTGACCCTGAAAAGAAAAACAGATAGCAAGTCTTGTTCTAAAAGGACAAGAAAGCGGCCTAATAAATAGATTTTTGTGTTGGGAGAGTATTTAAATCTAAAAAATTGTGAGTGGGGGGAAAAGCTTAACTACTGGTCAGAAGACAAAGAAAATAAATGTAAAAAAGTAAACATGTCCCAATTTTAATCAGACAACTAAAAAAAGTTGGGGGGGGGAGGTCGAGTGAAAGTTGAAGAATTCAACATGTACTTTTATTCCATTATCCACATTTCTAGAATTTAGTGGAAATGTTACATTGAATATCTTCTTTCAGCACTGAATACCTAACTTTAAAGTTACTTATTTCTAAGTTACTTAGTTTTTAAATGTTTAAACTTTGTATTACGTTATATCTGTGATCGGAAAAAGAGCGACCTTTTAAGTACTTGATTGTGTACTACTCGCAATCACTGAAGATACAGAAGCTTTTCAGTCTCCGGTTGTAAAGCAGCAATCTACCTTCAACTTGCCTTACACTTTTCTAGATAACACTGACCTCAACTCCCAAATCACTCCGCAAAACGACAAAATCCAAAAATTTGAAGGAGTGGAGATATCTCCTTGTCTCGTATTTAAAACACTTTTTTCCACTATAAAACAGCATCACGCCCCTACACACATAAAATGTTATTTCTAAAAATAAATTAACAGTAAAATCCACTTAAAAGGAATAATTTGGATGCCCATCCCTCAGTTTCGTATACAATTTTCATCAGCAGAAACCAACCAAAAAGCGGCTTTAACAAGAGTAATGATAATGAAATACTATTAGTGTAAATACCAGAAACCTGTAAATTTCTTTGAAATTTTTGCTCAAGGAACCCACATCTCTTACCAATAGAAGAAAACGAGCATAAATAAGCTTGTAACCAAACTTGTGGATTGAGGAGGAAGGACCATCTTCTTATTTCAGGCCAGTTAAATAGGTTTCATGGCAAAAATAATCGCATTACATTCAGGAAAAAAGAAAGCACACACAGGCCAAGGATCCACAGGGCAACCGCAGCCCCAAAGAGACCAAGCAGTTGAGCTTAGACCCAGAAAAGTAACGCGTAGCCATTCTCCTGACTGACAACGAATTCTGAGAGCAGCTCCCCTACAAAAAAACGTGTCCTGGCCAGAAAGGCTGGCGAAGGCACCCAGCACAGGTACACCGCACACAAGTCCTAGGTCAAGTTAGAAGTCAGGAAAACCTGAGTTCTGTGAAAATAACAGGTATACTGGTTGTGCGCGCACATCCTCCCCGGCAAGAGGGACCAACAAAGAGGCATAATCCAAGTCGGTAAAAACACACAGCGTGCACCTACACCCTTCTCCCTGCCCCTGATCCAAAGGCAAGTTGCAGAGGACTCAGCCCCAGTCAGGCAGCAGAAGCAAAGGCGTCTCATTTCGGGCGGGAAGAACTGCAAGACCGCACCCCGAACCCTTCACCTACTGGGCGCGCGCGGCGGAGCGCACAGCCAAGGCGGGGGACGCAGGCACCGGCAGGGACGCGCACAGCCCCTCACCTGGCAGAAGCACCTCTGCGCCGCCGTCTCCGGGGGCTGCTGCCCGCCGTGGCCCGAGCTGAGCAGGCACAAGACGCCCAGGAAGCCAATCAGGAAGCCCCAGCGGCGGCCCATACCCGTTTCGGCCTCTCGTCGCCCCACGCTCGAAACGTCCAGTACTCAAGCGCAGGCCGTGCACCCTCAGATAAGCCCGCGCGGGCCGGCCCCGGCAGCGCCCCACCTCCCGGCCGCCTCCCAGGCCCGCCCTCTGCTCTCCCGCCTCTCAGCGGCCGCCACCTCCGGCGGAGCCTGCGGACGTGCGGCGGCGCCCGCGCCGGCCGCCCCGGGCCTCGGACCGGTTTCCTTCCCAGTGAGTGAGGCTGACGCACCAACCCGCTTCCCGGCTCGGCCCCGCCCGGCCCGCCGCGCCCGCCCCGGCCCGTTGACGCCCCCGGCCTGGAGACTGGACCCGGGGCGCTGCCCCCAGCCCCTGAGCGGGAGTCGGGGGTCCTTCTAGATCCCCCAGCAGAGCGAAAGTCGGAGGAGCCCGTGTTTTCCCTTCAGGGCCGCGCCCCACCCCTGCTCTCTCCCGGCCAATCCTTCGATATTTCATTGCAAGGAAATCAGGCCGTACAAATTACGTGTCCATCGTGTCCCTGGCATACAGCCTTAAAGCTAAAAGGGCTATCAGAGATATTCCTGACCTCTCTGTCCAATAAAAATATAATGTGAGACCCATGTGTAATTTAAATTTTCTAGTAGCCACATCGAAAACGTAAAAAGAAACAGGTGAAATTAATTTTAATATATTTTATTTAACTCACATGTGAAAAAATATTTTTCCAAGTATAATCAATATTATGATTATTCGTAAAATATTTCCCTTTTTTTTGTCTTTGAAATCCAGTGCGTGTATATTATACAGACTAGGCACACTTCATAGCCACATGTGGCTAGTGGCTTGTGTATTTGGACAGCCCAGATGGAGACCGCCCTCTCATTTTAGAGGAGGAAACAGGCCCAGAGAAATGAGGTGATGTGAGCATGGACTGGGAGCTGGGTAGTAGTAGAGCCAGGTCCTCTGATTCCCAGTCCTGGTCTTTTAACATTTAGCCATGGGCTTAGTCTATCAGCTTTTTTTTTTTTTTTTTGGAGGAAATTTGAAGGTGAAACTGTAAAAGATTTCTAATTTCTTGCACATTAAAGGTTCAAATATTTCTTTTTTTAAGTGGATAGATTTTTTTTTAAGCCATCATTTAATGAAGGAGCTTAAGATATGCTAGGCCCAAAATAGGTATGCTCCTGTTTTCTAGCTGAGAAAATGGGCACAGAAGTTTATATACATTATTCAAAATCACATGGCTACGCCGGGGAATTGGTGATGAAGTGGAAGAATTCTTGCCTTCCATGCGGAAGACCCAGGTTCGATTCAGGCCAATGAACCTCATGCACAGGTGATTCACTAGGAAAAAAAAGTTATCTAAAATTCATTTAGAAAACACTTCAAGATCAGGATTATTCTGTCAAGAAACAAGCCTGCCTTCAGTGGAGGCTTGCGTGTAGCTATGATGCTAAACAGGTTTCAGGGGACCTTCCAGAAAAAGAGGAACTAGGAAGAAAGGCCTGGCAAACTATTTCTGAAAATCAGCCAATGAAAACTCTATGGATTACAACAGTCCAATTTGCATACACAACTGACCAGAGGAATGGCACTGGACTGGGCAGCATTTGGTTTAGTTGTGCATGGGACTGTCCATGAGTTGGACCAATTCCACAGCTAACAGCAAAATGATACAACATGGTAGAGGTGAGATTCAAACTTAGATACAGCTTACTGATATAGCCTATGCTCTGTCCACCACTGCCAAGCAAACTGACATGCAGTAAAAAGTCACCAGACATGGTGGACCTGAGAAGCTGTGGTTCTAATGTCTACAACATGCCACATGTACGTATTAATACAATTTCCTTCATTACCTACAGGCAATAAAGCCCTTCTTTATTACATCTGTGTATAAATCCAGACCCAGATCACATGTTCCCTCCTCTAAGGGGTCTTCCTGGTTTCCTCTTCACCCAGTCAGCCTCTAAATGAATTTCAATTCAGTAAACTTACTGTATGCCAGACTGAGCTCAACATTGGAGATAGAGAGATGTATAAGGCCCAGTCCCCATCCCAGGAGGTATACCTCATGGAACTTAGCGTGTAATCTTCTATGGCATTTTCTACCACTGAACTGTAAACTCTTTAAACTCCTTAGAAGCAGGACTTATATCTCAAACATACCTATGACTTCCAGAGATCCTAACAAGGAGCCTGACTTTGCGCATGTTTGTGGAATGAATATCCTCCATATGGTCACAATACTAATATCTGAAGATTAGACTGTCAAAAATGAAAGACACAATAAGAACAAAGTGAGATTAGGTGAATGAAGCCTATGAAGGAAGGAAGGAAGCAGTCTGATCATGAATCAGTTCAAGATTTCACCCTGATGCAATAGAGCATAACCTATCCCATAAGACTCAACTCTTGCGCAGAAGAAAATTTCTAGAAACTTACATAATTTGAAACAAGCTCCATATAAGATAGTTTTTTTTACTTTATCATCTTGATAATTATAATTTTCCATTCATATTTTTACGATATTTTAGAAATGTAAAATAGTTCTATGCATGTGGTGTGAATTACTGACATTTCCCTGAGAATACGTCAAGCTGGTCCTTTGAGTAATTTTACTTCTTCAACTCTTCATATCCTGCAATCATCTCACCTGTGTTAGGTCTCATGAAATAACTGATTAGTCATCCAAGAACTATTTAAGGAACACCCACAGGGTGCATAGATCAACCTTTGAATTTTTTAAGCCCATCCTTCCGTCGATTATAACTTCGCTAAACAACGTTAAATTTTTTAGAGATGAAAAAAGACAGAACCTTGTTATCCTAACACTAATGATAATGACAATAACATGACTTAGTTTTAATGTATGCAGCATTTCTTGATGGAATTCTGATTACTGTGCAAATAACAGCTTTTTTTTTTTTTTAATGACCAAAGCAGGAAATGACTTGAGCTCAGTTTCTCAAAATGGGGCATGGAGATTTCTCTGGGAAGTTTCTCAGTACCTAAATATTTTCTGGCACTGAATAGACTGGAAAGAAATAATTTAAAGTAAAAAATTTGGCAAAGAGAAAAGGAATATTATGATACAAAAAGAAGAATGGCTAAATAAAAACCTGACAGTAGGCTGGTATTTGATTAGATCCATTCATCTAATTAATATTTATTGAGTATAAATGTGTACATGGTACATTGCTAAACTTTTCTCTCAAGATGCTTAGAATCATCTGAGTTGGAAAAACATACCACCTAAGTTCTATCTTCACCTTCTTTATCTCAAGTTCCTGAAAGAGCCATCAGTATATTGTCACTGCCTTTACTTTCTAACTGCTCATTCACTCCTTAACTTACCATTCATGCCATAACTCACCGTGCAGGCTTCCAACTCCACCCTTCTGAAACTTCTCTTTATGTGATCTTTTTATTGCCAAATCTAATCAACATTTTTCATGAAATTACTGAACCTCTCTGCTTCATTTTGATAATGCTGATTTCTCCCTCCTTCAATTCAAATTCCTATGCACCAAAGACCTGAGAATCTCCTTATGTTGCTGCCATTGAGTTGCCCTAGGCTCATGGCGACCCCATGCACAATGGATCGAAATGCTGCCCAGTCCTGCACCATCCCCATGATCGGTTGCAAAATGGACTATTGTGAACCATAGGGTTTTTATTTGCTGATTTTCAGAAGTAGATCGCCAGGCCTTTCTTTCTAGTCCATCTTCATCTGCAAGCTCCACTGAAACACGTTCAGCATCATAGCAACATGCAAGCCTCCACTGACTGACAGGTAGTGTCTGTACATGAGGTGCATTGGCCAGGAATTGAACCTGGGTCTCCCAAATCGAAGGTGAGCATTCTACCACTGAACCACCAATGCCCCCAAGTCTCCTTATATTTCTCTGATATTATTTAACTGTCTTCTTTATGGGCTTTTCCCTAGCCCACCTCTAAGATGTGAGTGTTCCCCAGGATCCCATTCTTCGTTCAGTGCGCTTCTTTACCTATTCTCTCCCTCGATAAACTCATCTAATCTCATGATTTTAAGTGCCTCTTCTACACCAATGATGCTCAGACCTATATTTACAGTTCAGACCTTTCCCTTAAGCTTCAAAATCCAACTGCTTATTGGATACATCCATCTGGTTTTCTCAGAAATATGTGGTCCCACCACCATTCATGTCTAGGCAGATAGAAAGCAGGAAGCTAACGTCAGTTTCTCCCCTTCTTTCACCACTCATGACCTATTGACACACCAAGTCCTGCCAGTTCTGCCCTCTACATATATCTTCAATTTACTCCTTCCTCTCGTCTTTACTACCAAGAACTTAGTTCCAGCCCATATTGTCACTCACCTGATTTATTGCCACAGTCCCTTAACCGATCATCCAGCCTCCAGACTTGTACCCCTCAAAAAACACCTTCCACATTAGCCTGGTTTCTCAAAAACATTAATCTGACCATGTCATACTTTGGCTTAAAATCTTCAGTGCTCCTCATTGCCTGAAAAATCAAGTTTAAGTTTCTCAGCATGACATTCAAGGTCCTTTGTGATCTGGCCCCCACCTACTTCTCCAGCTTTATCTCCAATAGTTCTCGGCATTGTGGTAAATGAACGGCTAACAGTTTCCCACATAAGCCACAGTGTTTCCAGCCTTCATACGTTTGTTTATCTTGTTTCGGCTTCTGAAATATTTTCTCCCCTGTCCCACACCTATTACCCTCCTTTCACCTAGCTTACTCTTTCAAGATTCAGCTCAGGCCCTGCTACCTCCAGGAAGTCTTTCCTAGACCCTCCTCTATGGTTGGATTAGCTTCCTACTCTTTGGTTCTATAAGGTCATATAATTGTGCTTACAACATTGAATGGTATATATCCGTTTACGCATAGGTTTTCTGCAAATAACAGATAGGCAGGGAACTTGTCTTGGTCTTCTCAACATCCTCAGCACTTAGCATGGTGTATGTGTTTCACAAAATGACTTTTGAATGAAATAATGAATGTACAAATAAATTAAATAATTATCAAACCTGAAAAGATAATAACAGCATGATGTGTCACAGGGAAATGTGTGATTAAAATCCAAACAAATGCTATAAGCTTAGAGGCAAAGCGATCACTTTACGTTGAAGTAATTTTGGATGAGGGAGAGGACATGTTAGAAAGAGTAGAAATTGGAATTCAGAAAAATCCACAAAAGGTATGGATGTAGGAAAACTGATGACAAGATAGGGGTTCAACTACCAGGTGATTCTCTAGGAAAAAAATAAGAGGTACCTAAATTCATTTAGAAAACACTTCAAGATCAGGATTATTCTGTCAAGAAACAAGACTGGCTAAAAATCCAGGGACTCTAGACTCAACACAATTCCAGGGAGAGAAGGGAGTTCTGAATTCAAAAAAAAAATAAAAAAGTAGATTAAGTGAAGTTCTCCTATACTAAATACTAAGATTCTTCCCTGTCTTAGTTATATAGTGCTGCTGTAACAGAAATACCACAAGTGAATGGCTTTAACAAAGGGAAATTTGTTCTCTCACGGTCTAGTAGGTTGGTTACAAGTCCAAATTCAGGATGTTAGCTCCGGAGGATGGCTTTCTTTCTCTGTTGGCTCTGGAGGAAGATCCTTGTCGTCAATCTTCCCCCGGTCGAGGAGCTCCTCAGGCACAGGGACCCCAGGTCCAAAGGACAAGCTCGGTGCTGCTTTCTTGGTGGTATGAGGTCACCATGTCTCTCTGCTGGCTTCTCTCTTTTATATCTCAAAAGAAATTGGCTTAAGACACTATCTAATCTTGTAGATCTCATCAATATAACCGCCATTAATCCATCTCATTACATCATAGTGATAGGATTTACAACACATAGGGAAATCTTGTCAGATGACAAAATAGTAGACAATCACACAATACTGGGAATCATGACCTAGCCAAGTTGACAGATATTTCTGGGGGACACAATTCAATCGATGACATTTCTCCATCTCCATCAGACTACCTGTAATACTAGCTCCAAAACTGCAGATAATATACACACTTGCTTTCCACCGACCCCCATCCTGCCCCATCGTCTGTTTTCCCATTCTAAAAAGGAATTAGAGAATTCTTCCAGGAATAACAACTACATCAAGAAAAGACCTGCAGTGACCATCATTTAGGGACACTCCAAAAAAAGAGCTGGACCCTCCCACTCAGACGCTCAGAATTCCACTGCTTTTTTTAGTGCCTCACTCACTCTAACTGTGATCAGAAAACCAAGCTACACCAGACTGGAGAGGAAAGCCTCCAACATGAAATAGAGAGATCAAAACAAACAGGAAAAAAAGTAACGTTGAAGAAACAAAGAGGGAAGAAAGGAAAACAAACAAAAAATATAATTAATATCCTCAAAGACATAAGAAAAGGAAACTATAAAAAAGAACAAATCAGAAAACAAGAAAGAGCTCTGGGAAATGAAATTTATAATAGTGAAAATGAAAAGTTTCGATAGAAACATTGAGGAAACATCCTAGATAGTGGAATAAAAAGACAAAGAGGTTGAAAATAGATGCGAAGAGATCAATAGAGAAAAGTTAGAGGATTAATTCAAGGAGGATAAAGCCAAAATCAAACCTGTTGCCATCAAGTCGATTCTGACTCATAGCACCCTATAGGGCAGCATATAACTGCCACATAGGGTTTCCAAGAAGTAGCTGGTAGATTTGAACTGCTGACCTTTTGGTTAGCAGCCAAACTCTTAACCACTGCACCACCAGGGCTCCACTGCCCATCATAGTGCCTGATTTTATTTGTGTGTGTGTGTATCTCCATATATTTAAAAAAGATCAAACCTGTTGCCATAGAGTAGATTCCGACTCATAGTGAACCCACAGGACAGAGTAGAACTGCCCCACAGGGTTTCCAAGGAGGGTCTGGTGGATTTGAACTGCAGACCTTTTGGTTGACAGCCAAGCCCTTAACAATTTTGCTGCCAGGGTTTCTCCATATATATACATATATACACGCACAGAGAGATATATGTATCTCCACCGGCTGTCTTCAGACACTGTGAATTCAGTAGTGAGTAAGACATAGTCACAGTCCTTATTTTCCTGAAACTTACACTATAGTGAGGGAGAAAAACATTAAATATTTAACCACATTTATGAATATAAATTACAAATTAGGAGCCCTAGTGGCTCAGTGGTTAAAGCGCTCAGCTGTTAATCAAAAGGTCAACGGCTTGAACACACCAGCTGCTCCACGGGAGAAAGATATGGCAGTCTGCTTCCATGAAGATTTACAGCCTTGGAACCCCCATGGGGCAGTTCTACTCTGTCCTATAGGGTCCCTATGAGTTGAAATTAACTTGACGGCAGTGGGTTTTGGCTTGGTTTAATTACAAATTGAGCTATATTTCCTAATGGAGAAGAATATAGTCTTATAGGTGCATATATACAAAAAAAAAAGAACAGGGTTGATCAGGTGCTGGCATGGGGAAAATAGAAAAGTTCATCTGAAGTTGAGATTTTGCCAGATGGGTAACTGAAAAAGAACAAGGGTCAAGGGAGTTTAGAATATTGGTGAGAGTGATGTTGAATACACCAGTACGTGCTCATAAATATTTGTTGTATTGAACTAAACTGAACTGTCCTTTTTTCTCTGCCACGTCCCTTCTTTATTTCTTGAGGGCACTCATTAAACCCATTGCCACTGAGTCGATTCTGACTCACAGCAACCCTATAGAACAGAGTAGAACTGCCCCATAGGGTTTCCAAGGAGCGGCTGGTAGATTTGAACTGTTCACCTTTTGCTTAGCAGCCAATCTCTTAACCACTGCTGCCACCAAGGCTTCTCTTGATGACAGAAGGGATATATTTTGGAGTGGATGGACTAGTTTGACCAGAAGAGTTGCAACTGAGTGGAAGAAGGAACTATCCCTGTCAAAACCATGTCTACTGCATGGAATTGACTTGACAATGGGTTTGGTTTTATTCAGGAAGTTGACTGATTTTATTGGGATAATAAATTGTCCCAGGAACAATGCTGTGAAGAGGTATAGCAATGAGGACCCGTACCTCAAAAATTGGTGTCATTACTACTCTTAATGTAAGCAATAATTTAAAAGACCACTATTGAGTGCTTACCACATGCCAGATTTTGTGTTAACAGCTTTAGGCAAATTATCTCATTTGATACTCACGACAACTCTAGGAGACAGGTAAAATTATTATACTTATTTTGCAGAGATATAGAGAGATTAGGAAATTTGTCCAAAATCACAGAAATCTTAAAACAAGTCTGTCAAACTCCAAAGTTCCTGTCTTGGTCTACTTCAGTATCTTTATCTTGCGCTCCACGTGTCTACAATCTCCCCTTCTGGTTTCACTGGCCTCGTCTCTGTTCCTAGAAGCGAGCTAAACAAATTTTCAGCTCAGGATCTTTGCACTTGCTGTTTCCTCTGCTCAGAATGTTCTCCAGTTTGTTGAATGGCTGGCTCATCATCTCAGATATCTGTTCGAAATTAGTTGTATTCAGCTTACACTGTAACATTATCATAATTTACGTCCATCATAGTATATACTACACTCTGAAATTAGTTTTTATCTTCCGACTACATCATAAGCAGTTGTATTCTTAGTACCTCATTCGTTGAATGAATGAATGAATGAAATTGCCTACTGCTTCTGTACTTGGAGGTCCTGTGCCGACTCTATGCTATACCGATAGGCCATCGGAGCTATTTTGAAATATTGCGCATTCCCTACTTCACTTCCATTTCAGTTTATTGCATTGCCTTTTGTGGTTCCCGGACAGCCGTGACAGAATCCCGAGGGTTCTCGGGGGAAAACTGAAATTTAACAGCGCTCAGCTTCACCCAGCCTTGCCTGCAGGGGACAGTATGGC